ATAGAATCTCATTTTTTGAACCAGAATGGTATGAGGATTTCCTTTTTGAGCCAGAGGAGAAATAAAAAAGAAGATAAAATAGAATCTCATTTTTTACATACTTTGTATATAATATATATATATATATATATATATATATATTAATCTACTAACTTTTTTTTTAGAAATTTTAAATTATTATTTAATTTTATCATATGCAACTATTTTATCTAACTAACGACAATTAATTTATCAATTAATTTACCACATATAACCTAATAATATTCTTTTTTAAAAACTAGATGTTTATTCAATAATAGATTTTTCTGATAAATATTTTTAAACAAGAAAATATAAAAAATTAATATGTTATTTAAAATATGAATAAATAAATAGGTTTTATTTGAAATAAAACCTAGAGAGTTGTACATCTTTCCTCCCCCCCACCCAACCAATATTAGTATAAAAGGAACCAATCACTCCTTGTTCATTCATTCATTGTATCTTTCTCCCCTCTTGCACACCCTTTTCAAAAATTCTTTTTGATTCACAAATTCTCCCTCTCTTTCTCTCTCTCTCTCTCTCTCTCTCTATATATATATATATATCTCATACACACACAGGTTACAAAGTGATTTTCTTGGGTGCTATGTTTCCAGAAATGGCAATGAGGGATGATCAAACTCAAGAGACCTTAAAGAGCCAAGAAGAGCATAAAGGAGTGAAACACATGTGTGAAATGGGCATCACAAGAGTTCCCAACAAGTATGTTCTCCCAGTCTTTAACCGTCCCTACGATTCGATAACCGTGAAACCCTATGATGACGACAATCTCGACCTACCCATCATTGATTTTGCACAATTGCATGGTCCCAACCACGCCCAACTCATTGCTTCCGTGGCTCATGCATGTGAAAATTATGGGTTTTTCCAGGTTAGTCCTATTAGCCTTCATTTCCCACCGCACTACAACAAAATTGGTCTTTTAGAACGCCTAACCATCCTTGGGAGTCGTAATATAGAATCATATATATGGGGTGCACTGTTTCTTGAAAATGCATATATCCCTGCTGCAACAAGATTAGTCTTTTAGAACCCATATGCATATTATGTTAGTATTTAATGTGAATTTAAAGTTATAGGATCAAAACTTCCATCCCATCTAAAGACGTATAAATACTAATATAAATTTTTATAACACTAACACTTTTCATCTACGAAGTATCACAACCTAATAGGACCCTAAAAATAATTGTCCTATTAATCTTTCTATATTACAACTTTGAAAATTGTCTCACACACCATGGACGGACCCATGTATGTGGTACAGGTGGCACGTGCCACCGTATTATTTCTTCGTCGAAGGGTAAAAGAATTAGGTTTTGTGAACGTGCAACCGTATTAATTTGTTTTGTGCCACCATATGTATTTTGAAACTAAAATGAGAACAAGTTTTATTTGGTAGAGTTGGTTTGCAAGACTTTATTCCACCCCACACCCAAGTTTGAATCATGTTAGCGTCATTTTCTTAGACAAATTATGTCACCGTTTGAAAAAAAATTCATATATTTGTTTCTTATGGTTAAACGGTACCACCGTTTGAAAAAAATTCCCTATATTTTTTCTTATGGTCAAATGGTGCCACCGTTTGAATTTTTTTTTTTTGGGTCTGTCCAATATCACACACACACATATGGTCCATAGAAACCTTTTCAAAAGTGTCATATAAAAATAAGTATAGACCAATTTCTTTTTTGTCTTATCAGGTTTTGTCCTAACAATTTATTTGATGTCTATGGATAAAAAAAAAAACATTTCTTGTCCTGATAAATTTGAAGTCTAATGAAGTATCTTATTAAGAACAATTTGATGTCTTAAAACACGTATTTTTTGTAGGGATATTTTGTTATATTCTTTATGACCATATTTAATGTATATATGTGTGTGTGTGTGTGTGTTTTTGTAGATGATAAACCATGGGATATCAAGTGATGTAGTAAGGAAGATGGAAGATGTGGGTAGAAGGTTCTTTGAGCTACCTCTGGAGGAGAGAAAGAAGTATATGTCTACAGACATTCATTCTCTTGTTCGATATGGAACAAGTTTCAACCAGACAAATGATGGTGTCTTTTGTTGGAGAGACTTCTTGAAGCTGGTTTGCAATCCAGATGCTTATTCTCAATGGCCTTCTTCTCCTTCCAATTTTAGGTAACAAACCTTCATCTTTTTTGAGATATTTTTATAACAATTATATATAGTCGGTATCATGTGAACGTTGTAACGTTCACACAGACTGTATTAATACAGGTCATATGACATTCAGACAATATACCGTTATCTTCAAAGCTAGATTTCACGGCAAATCATTAGACGATATAAATGGTTTCTTCGCACTTTCTCACGAAAATGAGTCTTTGTAACGATTGATAATCATCAAAACAATATTCAATGGACTATATGGAAAGTCAAACACGTGATATTTTAGGTAGTTCAGTGATTCAATTACGTAGGATTCTCTTGATACATTGTTGATAAGATAAATGTTTACTATTAGTTGAAAAATTAGGTTAGTTGACTGGCTAAATAAAACGAGTCGGATAAAATCTTGGACCACAAGTGTATAACTTGAGTTTAACAGAACCCGTTCTACGTTTCTATCCGGATGACAAATAATATGCTTTGACTACTTAACGGAAATAAGTCTAGTGGATGTAGCAAACCGTCTAATCAGACAAAATACGAGACGTGTCTAAACCTTAGCTTCTTGACATATACATTTACGATATTTTTGGTTTCAAATCAACACTAAATATCTATACCAATGCCTTTAAAACCATAAAAAAATGGTTGGGTTTTGTTGTTATTAGCTGTGTTTATGTGACATCAAATGTAATCGATTATCTTTAATATAACAAACTTAAGGTCAATAGTTGTTTGTCACAAAAAGACACAGATGTATTAGCTGTATGCACAATACCCACATCAGAAATGTGTCTTTAGTACGAGGAGACTAAATAATGTCCCCAAATAAAGAATTAAAAAGATGAAATATAAAATAAAATCACATATAAAGTCAAATTATGATAATCATTCCTTATTTACGTAGAAAATGACTTCTCCTTTATTCAAATATATATATATATATATACATATATACATATATATATATATATATATAATTATATGTGGTAAAATGGATCTGTGAGACAGATTAGACAAGTGACAGGTTAAAAAATGTTGGACTATGAGAATCCCACGTATATCAATATGATTTTCTTTTTCTAGAGCCGATTAAAATAATTTGGGTCGGATTGGATGGACTCGCCAACCTTACTCGCCAACCTTTTTTTCTGGTTTCAATTCACTTTGGACAAAATTCTAAAATTGTCCCTTCTAAATAAAACATTCGATATATTTTTTATATTAACCTGGATATTCAATCCGCTATGAAAGCCGACTAATCCCACAGCCACCACCTGCTTTGCAGATAGCCCGTAATCACTGTATTTGAACCTCCGTGGCCACAAGTGGATTTTTTTCGTCATTGGATTTGAAACTGGGACATCCTCTTACTTTTGAACTTTTGATCCAAGCTGAAACCAATCAGACACCACTCTTGTGGTTAACATTCGATATGTTAATATCGTTAAATATCGGTTTTGATCCATAAGTTTTTTTTAATTATTATGAAGGACTATTTTGTGTATAGTCATTAACTTATAAACATTTTTTTTACCGAACTACGGATCAAACTAAATATTGTAATTTATTTTAATATAATTTGAATAATTATTTATTATAAAGACATGATTAAGATGTATTTAATCTTTCACTAGGGAAATGGGAGTAGGGTATGCAAGAAAGACAAAATTGTTGTTCCAACTGCTAATGGAAGTTATCCTAGAAAGCCTTGGATTGGGACTAGCAAACACAAAGAAGACACCAAAAACTGATCAAGAATTCGGCCAAGGCAACCGCGGCAATAAGGCGGAGGAATACGATGATTTTAGAAAGGATATGGAAGACGGTAGCCAGTTAATGGTGGTGAATTGCTATCCACCATGCCCGGAGCCAGAACTAACGTTTGGAATGCCACCGCACTCTGATTATGGATTCCTCACCCTCCTCCACCAGGATGAAGTCGAAGGCCTTCAAATTCTTTTCAAAGATCGGTGGGTGACTGTTCGACCTCATCCTCAGTCGTTCGTTGTTAATGTTGGTGATCACCTTGAGGTTGGTACATTTTTCTTTGTCATTATACAACTATATTATCTTGTTAAAAAATTACTAAAAAACACTATATGTTTAAGAAACGGTCAATCCAAAGATGCATACATGCATTTGGCTTTGTGATAGAAGCGTCTGATGTTTTAGATCTAACACTTTAGATTCTAAATGTGCGCAACTAACAAACGATGGTGACACGAAAGAACGATTTGCACCAGAATCAAATAAAACTCTGGCACATACTTAATTAACGAAGAATGTACCTGTCACCACTCCGGGATATACCTCTGCCTCGGCTCTTGTCATCTAAAAGACTCGTTTTCTAGCCATTGTCTCACCACGTCTTACTTCCCCACAACCACTAGGGACATTACAATTCACCATTTGCCCGCGAATGGGTGGAACATAGCCAGATCCTCGGCTCCCAGAATAACTAGATCCTCGTCCCCCAACAAAATCAGATCCCCGTCCCTTAGCTTGCGGATAATCAACGTTTACATGCTGAGAAGAATTACACATAAAGCATCTTCGTACCATTCGACAATCTCAGGCTATATGCCCTAATTCTTGACATTTGTAACATGTTCGTGACTCTGTGTTGAAGTTTCCTTGGTGTACTTTATGACATAGCGCACATGCTTTATCAACAAACCTTGAGATTGGTCGATTCAGATTTTCAGTAAATCTAGGTCCACGAAAATCAGTTGCTACCGCTTTCTCTTTCCTTTTATCCCAACCCTTTATTGTGGTTGGCGATTGATATCTTGTTCCAAAATTTCTGCAGCATCAACTTCTGCTTGAAATGTAGCCGGCTTTCTGGATATTACATATTTCCGGAGATTAGACTCCAAACCCCAAATATACTTCCTTACTTTACTACTTTCAGTCACTATCTATGCCTCAGCAAATCGAGACTATTCCATAAAAACCTCGGCATACTGACGAACCATCATATTACCTTGTTTCAATCGAAGGAAATCGTCCTCTAGCTTTCGAACAACACCTTTTGGACAATATTGAATTTTAAACTTTACCACAAATTCCTCCCACAGCATGGTTTTTAAGATATTCGGATCCGAACTCGACATAATTTCTTACCAATATAATGCACTTGACCGTAACCTGGATACATCAAACATTACTTTATCTTCTTCTGCACTTTTACTGGTCTGCAAACTTAATTCAATTTTTTAAGCCAACACATGGCTTTAACAAGATCACGTTCTCCAGAAAACTTAGGGGGTTTACAAGCAAGAAATATCTTGATATCCCTTCATTTTTGTATTGATGATGAAGTAGGTGGTGCAGATGTAATCGTCACTGGTGTACTAGCTCCAGGTTCTTCCTGAAAATTCGGGTTTTTTACTCCTTTTGGATTTTTTTGTGCATAACGTCCCAACAAATTTACCAGACTTTCCTGAAATTTTCCCAGTTCGGCTGCCTACATTTCCTGGGTCATGAGCATGACCTCTACCCTTGCTCTGCCTCGTCCATGACCTAACATAAAACTCTGTTGTGCTGATAATTCTTGTTTAGTGTGGGCTTCTTGTTGAATATTTACTCCTCTTCCTCGTCCTCGGCTTCGACCTTGTTTTTCAATGGTCTAGCATTTTCTGGTCTTCTTCTCTATTTACCATTCCTCTTCCCTGGCCTCTTCCATGGCCTGTAGAAGTTCTTCCAGATCGATTGAGATTATCTGTCATTCTTTCTTAGTACTCGTATTACTTTAATGTCCTTACTTTAACAATAAACACATATATGGTTATTCACAAACCAAAGTATGATAACATGTTTACTCATAGATCAAGTATCTGTAACTCAAGATTACATTAATCTCATGTAATCTAACTTTATCATCTTATCATCAATAATAGGTTCAATCATAACACATTCTCAGGTCCATAATCCAGTGGAACCTATTATCACATACTCCGCACCTCTAGTTTAAGTCTAAGTATCAGGCTAATACTCAGATCTCTTAAACTATGGCTCTGATACCAACTGAAACAACCCATGTGTACAAAACAGTACTAATACACAATATCATTATCATATATCTCCAAGTTCACCTTACCAAAGTATGATACAAATATTCCAAGTTATTTTACATATCAAAGTAAGAATATGGATTAACAAAAACTTTATCCAATAATAACATTTTTCTTCTAAATATCACTTCTTTACATCTTTCCCTTGCTTTTATCCTGAGATGATGGATGACCTGCAAAAAAGATTAGTACAATAGTTGAGCATTAGATCAAAAGGCCTAGTGAGAAAATTTCCCTTTCACAAAACATAAGTTACTTCCAAACCCAAGATAGACCAAACATGGATCTTACTATCGCGGTTACACCGTCATTTCATCTATCGCGGTTACACCGCCATTTCATCTATCGCTGTTACACTGTCATTTCATCTTATCGTGGTTACATCGTCATCTCATAGTTATTGAAGAAATTAATGTACCACCTTGACCTATCCAGACAACACTATGTCCGGAGAAGAGGTTACCGGACAAAACTTATTATTTTCCGAACAACCTTCTAACCGATGAAGGGTTATAGGACAAACCTAGTTCTTGTCCGGACAACATTCAACATATGGTCATATCCGAAAATGCTTTGACTGGTGAGAAGTCTTTTCCAGACACTGCCTTGGCCGGTGAGAAGTCTTATCCGGACACTGCCTTGGCCGGTGAGAAGTCTTATCCGGACACTGCCTTGGCCGGTGAGAAGTCTTATTCGGACACTGCCTTAACCGGTGAGAGGTATTATCTAGACAACCCTTAAGTACAAAGAAATGGCCTCATCAGTCACTACCCTACCGGATGAGGAGCCTCATCGAACAAGCTTTTCTCGATGAGTTTTGTTCTTGAAAGGTTTAACAAGCGATGAAGCAACAATAAACATAATCAGTTTGAAATCCATCAAAACAACATAAGTTAGAAAATTATTGAATTATACACTAAAGATATACTAAAAACAATAGGGAACTCACCTTTTTCCTTAACACAGCTTTAAATCTGCTTTTGTTCTAAGCTTTACCAAATTTTTCCAAAGACAGGTAGAGATCTCCCAATTCAGTAAACCCTTTCCCCTTTACATGTACTTGCTATTTATAGCAAGTACACAACCGACTTTTACAATACATAAGGGGGTGTTTGCTTACCATGCATCCTCCTCTACCAAATAATTCACACACACACATACACAAAAACATACATATATATATATATATATATATATCCATATACCTATATTACTCAAACATAATAATAGGAAAAGAACCATAGACCGGTTCCTCTCCAAGCCTTGAATGCCAAAACTAACCCCAAACTTTCCAAAACCAAACTACTTTAATGCATGATCAACTATAATCTGACAATTGAATAATACAATATATATATATATATATATGTGGGGTTGGGTTCTAGTGAGATAAAAGTTGTGGTGAGAAGAGTAAAGAAGGATCTCTACCTTTAAATCAATCATAATTTGAGATTAACACTAATATGGGGCACCGAAATGAACCGGATAATCCCATGAAAAACACAATTCATGGGTGGGGTGAGATTAAAAGTGATCAAGAGTTAAGATCTTTTTTTACGATCTCACTTTAACTTCTATTCTCACACGATCTTTCGTCTGTATACATATGTTGGGTTGAGTTCGGGTGAGAATAAAAGTTATGGTAAGAAAGTGAAAACAAAACCTTCTTATACCGTCATATACCTTTTATTTATCTATTTTTATCATGAAGAACAAAACTTCAACAAATTTATGCATATTAAAGTGATTAAATATATGTGAAAGTTCGTGAATGTGACAAAATGTGAAGATAAAGGTAGTTGAAGATAATTGATAATGGTGGAAATTAGATGAATGTAGTTAAGGTACTGAAGGTAGTTGAAGAAAAGTGATATTAGATTAAAAAGCCAACTAATTCAAAGGCTCAGAAGTGTTTTTATCATTCAAACTATAACTGCTATCACTATAACGAAATTGACTTTATAAAACACCTAGAATGTTTAAATGTCCTAATAGAATACTTAATATACCTTATATGTTATAGGACCAAACTATAAAACGTCTCATCTAAAAGTCTTACAATAGGTTTATATGACGTTTTAACATGTTTTTTTGGCTGCTTTTAAAATATAGTGTCATATTAGCTATTTTATAGGACATTTTTTAGAAGTGTCTAGTAACTCATCTTTTTATAGGAAACTTGTGTTTATAAGACTCTTTTCAAATAGTGTCGTATAAAATAACTAATACAACACTTTATTTTAAAAACGTCTTAGAAGACCTTGTTAATTAAAATGCCTAAAAACGTCCTATAAATCTAATTTAATACTTTTAGATAGGACGTTTTTTAGTTTGATCCTATAAATTTAGGTCCTCTAAAGTATTGTATTAGGAAGCTTAGATATTTCACTTTTCCTATAAAACCAATTTTATTGTATTGTATTATCACTACCACAAAATCGGGTTTACATGATGCTATAAATTTCTAAGTGTCACATTAGACTACTTTATAAGACTATAATTTAAATGACCAAATAAATACATGTCTTATGTAAAAGCGTTGCAATAGATTTATATGATGTTTTTAGGGGTCTTAAATAGTTTTTAGGATGTTTTTGAAATAAATGGTCGTATTAGAATTTTTCACGACATTATTTGAAAAAGTGTCCTATAATTTTAAGCGTCCTATAAAAAGATGTATTTATTACCAAAAAGTATCCTAGGAAGTCAATGGTTCAAATTTCACCAAATGTGAGGATGGTGTGCGAGTTTATTTGTTATATTTGTCGTATATAAATATTATATACTTAAAAAAATGTATCATATAAAATAGATAATAGAACATTTTATCATAAAAGTGTCCTAAAAACCCATTTAAGACACTCAAAAGAGTTTATAAACCTATTGCAATGCTCTTAGGTACGAGACATACCTATTTGGTCTTATAAACTTGATTCCCATTAAGTACTCTTTTAGGATACTTACATAATTGTGGCGTCCTATAAACATGATTTTGTTGTAGTGTCTCACTCGATCCCATGTGTTTGTGTATATATGACTCATTTTAGGAATCTTGTGTTTGCAGATATTTAGCAATGGAAGGTACAAGAGCGTGATGCACAGGGTGCTTGTGAATTCCATGAAATCTCGGATATCAGTGGCATCTTTGCATAGTCTACCATTTGCGACACTTATTAGACCGTCACCAGGACTAATAAATGACGAAAATCCCCAACGATACAAGGACACTAGTTTCACAGATTTCGTTCAATACATTACAACCTGTGATTCCAAACACAAAAAATTTCTAGATACTAGAAAAATTTGTCACAATTATTTGTAATATTGAAAGTTTGAACGAAAATATTACAGTTATAAAAATATATGGGACTCCATTAAAGAAATAACGAAAATATTATAGCCTACAACACTTGTAGTATTCCTTCCTAGAAAATAATGAAAAGAAAAGGTTGATTTGCATGCAACTTTGTAAGGGGTTGTGAAATTTTACTAATATTCTTTGAATGCTTGTTTTCATACATGGGCACCCATTTTGTTACACATATGCAACAAAAATATTTGTGAGGCATGTATAATACATTATAAAAAACTGAGTTTATAGGATATTAATAATGTCTGAATGTACTAATAGATCGTTTTATAGGTGTTCAGTTTATATAAACAATACAGTGTCCTATCTAAAAATGTTGTACTAAGTTTATATGACGTTTTTGAATGTCTTAACAAGTTTTTTATGACATTATTAAAAAGAAATCGTTGTATTAGCTATTTATATGACACTTTTGAGAAGTGTTTTATAAACACATCTTTTTATATGACATTTTTTTATAAGACACTTTATTATAAGTAATGTCTTGTAAAATAACTAATATGATACTTTATTTTAAAAATGTTCCAATAAACTTGTAAAGATGTCCAAAAGCCTCCTATGAACTTATTGTAACGCTTTTAGATATGACACTTTATCATTTGATCTTATAAACCTAAGTCCTATAAAATAGTTTATGTGACGCTTAGACATTTTTGACATCCAATAAACCCAATTTTATGGTAATGATGCACGATCCTATCATGTGGATCACGTTTCGATTTTACCTTTGGTTTCTTTATTGCAATGTATATACCCCTATTTTTCCCTATGAAGTTTACAAAAATTAGAGGGATATACACTTCATAAAGGCAAAGATCATCCGTTTATGTGTGGATGTACACTATCATATTAAATTAATGAGATTTTTCAATTACGTTATGAGTTTATTATACTTATTCCGTTTGTTCATCTTCCTTCTTGTATTTTTTCTATGTTTACACTAGTACAAAAATGACCTTTTGCTACGGATTTAAAATAATAGGTTAGCCATGGTTAGGTTAAAAACAATGGCCAAAAGTCATAAATAAAATCATAGTATTGTTTTATCTACGATTTAACTTAATAATTGTGACCATTACCAAACACTTCCAAATCAACTCCGTTCCTGACATTTTATAGGCCCTGAACGAACATAAAAACATGGCCCACTATAAGAAACAAGGCTTTTAGCAACGACTGTTGTCGTCGCTAAAAGTCCATTTATCATCATAAAGAGTATATAACAACAACATATCGTTGTTATAACTTGTGGCGGAAATATGTCATCACTAAAAAGCGCATTGTCAAATCTCACTTTTCTTGTAGTGACCCTCGGTAATACGAAAAAAAAAATCAATAAATGTTTTTCATTAGTATAAAATTGAGTACAAGAAATACTAATAATTTACTGAGGAAAAAAATCTTATTTATCTTTATTATAGAATATAAGAGAGTACTAAATTACGTAATTCTTATTAGGTATTTTGAAACCAAGAGTATAGGAACTATGGTTGATATAAATTTTTATAAAAAATAAGAATTTTTTAGTTCATAACAAGAAATATGTGTTATTTTGATACAAAAAGAGATTTTGTGTGAATGAAGTAATTGTGAGGGTCAATAAAAGATCAATAATAAATAAAATTATCAAGGTTTATAGATTATTAGACAAATGAAGATCAATAAAGAAAAGACGATCAATTGAGATCCAATAAAAATAAATAACAAATTAAACATATAATAGGCAAACTCAACAAATGATTGTTTGAACACTTAAATAGAATCTTGTGGTGTGGTGGAATCCCAATAAAAGATATATAAGTCAAACAATTGATGAAAATATTTAAATTATGTTTTCCTTCTTTTTTTGCTCAACTAAAATAAGATGTTAAAATTCAAAATTTATGAAACATGACATATATAAGAGATATTACTAAATACATTTAGTAGAAAAAATTTATTGATTAATCACAAAACCATGAAATACGATAGAAATTATAAGAACAATAGATTGATTGTCAAACAATAATTAATAAAATATTTTATGTAGAAGCAAAAATAGATAACAATAGTCACCAAAAACAATTAGAACAACATAATCAAATAACAATAGTCAATAGAAGCAAAAATTGATAAACATGTCCAACAAAAGTATATAGCAATAGCAAACATATGATCTTAACGCTGAATTGTTGAAACATGAAAACAGTCAAGCATATAGATATAGCGATAGTCAATATCATTAGACTTTGTTGGAGACAAAAAAAAATATAAATACAATAAACAATAGCATATAATGAATGACCAATTAATTTTTTTATTTTCTTCTCCAATGTAATTAATTGATATATTTTTGGGACCCTTATTATCAGCTAAATTCTTTTTGCCTCTTATTATATGCTACAATTTTTTGGATTTCTTTAATTTATTAAATTCGTTTATATTACTATTGTATTTTCAAGGAAAAATTTGGGCTCTGGGCGTGTGCCCGTGCCGCCCTCTCCCAGGGACGACCCTGTTCCAAACATAAAGCAACAGTTTTAATAAAATTGGTACTAAATGTTTCGCCATGGCGACGACATTCTAATCATGGCCAATAACGGTCATAAATCGTGGCCATATACAAACCTATAGTCACAGTTCTTTATCGAAACTAACTTTTATTGTCACGGTCATTGTCTGTGGCCATAGACAGACATAAGCCACATGAAGTCAATTTTTTGTGGGTAAAAAATATATATATTGTCACTATAACTTTTAAACATGCCCAAAGACAAAGGTGTTAATAGCCACGATTTTAGTTATCTTGTGTCATCAAAAGGTAACCAATAGCCACAATTTTGTGAATTGGGCATAATATAAGTCATGAATTGGCAACGTACTATGAAATTTGTATAGCTAAAAGTATATAGTTAAGACCACGTTTAAAATAAGTCGGTAGTAACAGGTAATCAATATCCACATTTCAAACAATTTAGTTCATGTGACTCACAAGTAATTTATGGTCAAGGGTTTATTATTTTATGTGATTGAAAGTTAATCAATAGTCACAATCCTAAAATTTAAATGTAAGTATGTGTCATGTATTGGCCATAGTTTTTATTATTTTTTGTGGATAAAAGATAACTATTAGCTATATTTCTAAAAATTAAGGGACATCCATAAACCCACACGTTACCATCGATTAGGTATGTAACACAGGAAACCCACAAGATGCTCAAGACAAAAGAAGCCTTGAACACAACTGAAGAGGCATGTATGCGTGGACGTTGCTGCGCAAGCAGACAACCAAGTGTAACTATATGTTATAATTTGGTCACATATAATATGAAATTTTTATGGCTAAAAGTACATCTAACGTCAAGGTGAAAATAAATGTGTTTAAAAGGTAACCAATAGTCATGCTTATAACAATGTAGTTTGTGTGGCTAATAAGTAGTTTATAGAAAAAAATATTATTATTTGGTCTTAGGACATTAATAATGTCTAACTGTGCTAATATATTGTTTTATAGATCTTTAGTTTATAGGGCCAAACAATAAGGTGTCATATTTAAAAGTGTTGTACTAAGTTTGTATAACGTATTTTGGACGTCTTAACAAGTTTTAGGACTTTTTAGAAAGAAATCAATGTATTAGGTATTTTATACGATACTTTTGAGAAGTATCCTATAAACACATCTTTTTATACGACACTTGTTTTATGACTCACTTTTTTATAAGTAATGCCTTATAAAATAGCTAATACGATACTTTATTTTAAAGATGTTCGAAAAAGCTTCTAAAAATGCCCAAAAGCGTCCTATAAACTTATTGAAACACTTAGATATAACATTTTATCGTTTGATCATATAAAATTAAGTCCTATAAAACAGTCTATTACGACAATTTATCAATGGTTGTTATTCAGCTCCAAGAGTCCGTACCATAATTCCTCGAAGACTTGATGCCTATTTCTAGTTACAAACGGGAATATCATCCCATATCAATTATTAAAAAGACTCCTATACCTATGGATCTATTGCATTATAGTCTAATACTTGTCAAAATTTTAAAACGACCACCTACAATCAAACATATAGTTTACTAACGATTTTTACAACATTGGAAGTGATTTATGTGGAATGGTCACATCTTGGAGAAAATGTTTTGATAATACACATTTCCAAGTCTCAAAATTTCATAAATGTTTTGATAATACACATTTATAACAAGATAAAAAAATCCCAAACATTTATTTCAAACAAAGGGTAAAAATACCCCAAATCTCTCGAAATGCTCAAATAATTCAAAATCCACAAATACAAGAAATATATTAAAAGAGATGTTTAGGAGATTAAGATACAACATTTTGACATGAATAAAGGTTAAAAAAATAGGATGAACTCACAAATGCTAGGTTTGATGAAAACCTAGAAACCTAGCAAAAATGGTGAGAAGGATGAGATCTTGGAGCTCCAACCACCAAAAAATAACCTTGCATTTAATGCTCCTATATGCCTCCAAGAATCACTAAAATCGTGCCATAAGTTATTTAAAGTGGGAGTAAATGAAGAGTGAGTGAAGGGAAGTGAGGGAGGATAACGAGGTCAAACCCTAAGAAATCGACCTTTTAGAACTGATCTGGGTGTGAATGCAGGTTTTCATGCGGCTAACCCCCGCATGAAAGTTTGCTCTTATCCAAAATTATTGATAAACAAACATTAATATAGGCTTTCATGCGAATAAACCCGCAAGAAAAAGTTGCCTTATCCAAAATTCCTGACAAACAAAAGCTAATACATGTTTTCATGCGGCTAAATCCCCATGAGACGTTGCCCTTATCCAAAGTTCCATACAAACATACGCCAATGCAGGTTTTCAAGCGGCTAAACCTGCATTCTAACCCTCATTGATCACTTTTTGACTTCCAATTGCCTTTTTCGTAGAATTTAGCATATACTTCAACCCATGACATCTTCCAATGATGTAACTTGATAAAAAGGTATCTTGTAGGGTCAAAATATCATGCGGAATACAAATGAAAT